TTAATTCATTTGCCTCTTTACAGGAAACTAGGATTGAGAGATCCTAAGGCTGCTTCTATCATCCTTCAACTGGTAGATCGATCACTGAAACACTTCTATGGAATAGTTGAAGACATGCTTATCAAGGTGGAAGAGTTTATTTTTCCAGCTGACCTCATCATCCTCGATATAGAAGAGGCATATCAGATGTCAATAATCTTGGGAAGGCCATTCTTGTCTATAAGCCGAGCATTGCAAGATTTCGATGCTAATGAGATAGTCTTGAGGATGAAGGATAAGCAATAGAGCTTTACATGGAGAATCCAATTAAACAACCATCGTACTTTGAGGATTGCCAATAAGTTGGTCATTGGGAAAGCTACAAAGGCAAGCCAAATGAAGGTGGAATTGTTGGTAGAGATAGCGATGGAAACATAATTGTTTGGGGGATGAAAGATGAAAGAAGGAAGTACAATCAGTGCATAAAATGCAGAGCTGAATATTCCCTCTTCCAACCACCATGAATACCAAAACAACAAAGTCTAACTAAATACTATAAATTAAGCGCTTATTGGAAGATAACCTAATTTCATTACCATTTATTTATTTTGCTTTGTTGATCGTATTGCATATAAACTTGTTTTGATTATTAGTATGCATTAGATTTAGGCACGTTTAAATTTATAGGGTATCATCATCCGATAATGTTTTCGCTAAGGCTCTTAAATTTAATGTTGGTTATTTCGAGTGTTTGGGCTAAGTAATACACGTTTTAGATTATTTGATATCTAATGTTTGATTTGATTGTCATATGCAAAAACATAACGTCGTCGAACACCCAAACCCATATAGACCAAGAAAAAGCATGATGAGAAAAATTGTCTGGCCGTCACCCATAGTCCATTCCACAATCAATAGAAACATCTAGGGAGTATCTTTTTCCTTTTCTTTCCCGTCCCCTTATATTTTTAATTATGCTTTAAGATATTAAGGACAATATCTAGTTTAAGTTTAGGGTGGAAAAAACTTTAAAGCTTTGGTTTTTCGTATTTTTTTGTTCGTTTGTCTTGTGTGTTTATAAATAAATAAATAAAAATTGTTTTTGTGTGATAAAAAATATCGTTAAATTTTTTTATTTTTTTACTTTTGGCTGTGTGCTTGTGTTAGTTAGACAGTTTAGTTAATAATGATGATTAAATTTGAAATTTGATGTTGATTTATGAACTATAGATAGGGAGCATGCTAGATGGATTGAAAATTAAACTTGCAAAACTTGATATTATATACGCACTAAAATTGAGTTTGACATTATGATGAAATGAGTTGATTCATGCATTTGATAGATTGATTTAGTTAAACATAGATGCTTTACGCAAACCATACTAATTATATATCCTTAGACCAAATTTAGCACAATTTGGAGTTTACTGTTGTAGGAAAATACGGATATGAATGTGGATTTCTCTTGTGAAAAAGTTTGTGTGGATTGTCTTAGCTTAACAAGATAAAATTGGGTGAAAGTCTTAAATTGAAAGTCAATTTTTTCGAATGGTTGTGTGGTAAGGGGCATTGCACTGATCAAAGCATATATTTTTAAATTTAAAACTTCTCTTCGAAACCTTTATTACTCGATTAATTAAGCTTGTAAGGGTATCTTAAAACTTGGTGCCTTAAAATCATCTGACTTGAGAGTCATCAACCTAAAGCCTGCTATATGAGTAATCTAAAAAGTTTAAGGAGGAGACAAAAGAAAAAAAAAATTTTTTAAAAATCAGAAAAAGTAAGTGCATGAAAAAAGCAAAAATACTAAATGCCTTGTTATGCCCCAACACTTGTTTGAGAGAATTTGACTTCTAATTAAATGATGACAGTCGAAGCAATCAAATAATTGGAGAATTCTAGTTTATTGACGTGTTGACTTGCAACTAGTGACGTCTATCTAAATTGGAGAGGAACGGGATAGTAATAAAAAATTCAATCTTGGATCACAAGCTGGGAAAAGAGTGAAAAAGAATAAGTTTGGGGGTGTGTGAATCTTACAAGAGATTAAAGGATATATTTGACCATAAAATCTTACAATAAAATCTGATAGAGTGACTAACATAATGAATTTTAGCTAAGGGAGACAAAAAAAATGTTTTTATAGCATTTAAAAAGAATAAAGCCTCCTGTCCCGTGTCGGGGACGGGGGAAAATAGGGACACCACATGGCGATAGGCGTCACATGGCTCCCTTGTCCCTGTCCCTGTCTCCAATCCGGGACAAGGAGTAGGGTTGATTTAATAATTAGAAAAAGAAGTTTGGATAAGTCGTGGACCACCTTAATAACCTCAAATCAATAGCATGTTATTTGCCATTGTTGACTCCTATGAAAAGGTCAATTTGAACTAGCAATGGTCATCTTCACCCATATGGAGGTATCGGTTAAGGTCCACAAAGGCGGCTGGAAGGAAGCTTTACGTGCCAGACTTTTTTGTTGAGCAAATTTGGAACACAAAATCATCAAAGTGGAATGGTCCAAAACCATAACCACCACATAGTACTAATCCAAACTTCTCTATTATTGCACAAACTCCACTAGTGTATTCACCATTCTAAAAGTGACACATATTTTCGTTTTTTAGCTTATGTATTTAACACACCTTTTGCACAATACTCATTTTTTATTAGTCAGTAACTAAGACAAATTTCATTTAAAATTGAGTGGTAGTGAGACTTGAACTCGGACCCTTCACTTGCTATGCTACCATATTAAATAACACTGACAACGTTGTGACTAAAGCTAAGTTAAAATTACTTATTGATTAATAAATTATTTAAGAAATTACAACCTACTTTATAGCAATAGTGAAGTAGTAACACGAGGGAATGGTGAAAAGGAAACCCCATCGAGGAGTGAAATGAAATATGAAACCATAAACTCCCAAACAGTGAGAAGAGCCAGGTCTCTTAAGTCCAATGAAGCATACTCCTCACATGACTTGAGTAAATTACAGAAACATCACTTGAGGTTTATAAAAAACACGAAGAAAACATTTATTATTTAAAAATTGCAAAAATCTTTATTATTATCATAATATTTCCATTTAACTCCTTCTGTTTTCTTATTTCTCTTTCCCTTAATTTCTATTTAGGGAAAAAAAGTTGTTTGATTTTAAAGAAAATTAAATAGTTTAATTTTAAATTGATTTGCATTTAAAAAATAATACAAAGCATCTAATACAAAAGTGAAGTAAAAAGAAATCTAACCATTAAACGTTTGTTTCCAACTTTATTTCATTTTACTGTTACGTACTTCAATTTTCTAAACTTAGTATGTTATAAATTTTAAGAGTATAAAAAAATGAAAAAACTGAGAAAATGCTAATAAATCGAACAGCATAAATATTTGACGATTTTTAATTAGCTTTATTAAAGGATTATAAAACATGTATTTATATTGATTTGTTAATTATTTCTAATCGGATTTGAAAAAAAAAAGCTCTTTATAATTTAATAAGACAATAAAGATATTTATAATAGTACTTGTTTCTATTGAAACTAATCATTTCATCAAAATCGAAAGAATAAAGAGGAGAAAGTATGGTACTCTGAATATAATATAATACGGATATCAGAAGAGTTAAAATAAAAGAATTTCAAAATAATATAATTGAAATGGTAAAATGGTAAATTACATATATGCCTTTTGTCGATATTAACAAGAGATTTTCATAATTTTTGAAAAGCGGATGATAAATCTTTAATATTCGGTAACCTCAAGGGGGTAGCTAAAACTAGTTCTTTTAGTGCAACAACAATGATTAGTAAAGGAGATTCTACCAATTTCAACTGGAAATGAAATTCAAATTGGGTTATTAAGTTGGTAGAAACAATTGATAAGTACTCCACAAACTCATTAGACTCGGTCTGCTCATCGATCCAATTAAAGCATCATATCACTAGGTTAGTAGTTCAACAGATGAGTTAGTGATTTAATTAGTGGGTCGTTATCAAGTCAAAAGTTTATATATTATAATTTAAAATTTTATCTTGTTTGATCGTGATTAAAACTTAGATTTTAATTTTAGTCAAAGTCAATAATTAATTTTAACTACATATTTTATGGGTCCCACAACTTTTCGACCACACATTTTATGAAATTTTATCAAAATTTATAAAAAAAATCTTATTTTAATCCCCACTAAAGAAGGGCTTATCATTTGAACAATTATATTTTATAAGTTCTTAAATTTTCTTTCTTGTTTTAAAATAAAATTGAAGGCGTAACATATATTTAATCACACTATTTGATAGGGTCTAAAATTTAGATTTAAATTCAAGTCAAAATCAACAATGAATTTTAATCACATATTTCATGGATCTCACAATTTTTCAATTTCACTTTCACCTAGTTTTATTAAAAATTGCTAAATATTTGATTTTAATCTTCATCAAGCAAGCTAAACAAATCTACTACTAGCGGTAATACTTTTGTTTAGTCGCAGGTCTAACAGCTAACGGTTGAAGCCTGGTGAAAAGTGGCTTCCTCCATCAACTTTGAGGGTCCTGGGTTCAAGGCGTGACATGGCCCCTTATACATTATAAAAAGAATTGGCCAGTTTTGCAAAACTAGACTAGTTCTTGATAAATTTGAACTGTTCGACGGGTTTAAAACATTTTAAATGCTAATTGATCCAAAAAAACTATTTGTATTGGACGGGTTTTGTTCACTGATTTTCTGATCAAACTGACAATTCTACTTAGAGTACTTTCCACAACTTCAATCCAGAATATGTTCCTATTCACGAATTAAAGAAATAATTATCAAGATCAAAATAATCTTTGGTTTAGATTTCATGATTCGAACTAATTACCCTAAATTTTCAATATTTGGTCAATCATAAATAATTAGAAAGGAGACATGAAAAAATGTCTTACAGTTGGCACAATTCTACCAAATTATTCTGACCCATGGAACAATGCCAACCGTCAATTTAAACAAGTACAAACATGAATTTTATAAGTTAGATCAATTAATTTTCTTCACAAAAATCGGGAAGAGGAGGAAAAATGGAGAACTGTGCAATGGCTCTATCTCCTTTCAAATCATTCAACAAGTCTACAAAAATTCCATTTAGGAAAATCAGCTACAGATTCAGCGACAAATATAGAGCAGTTTTGTGTGGGAACTCTACAAAATCATTCATCAAATCGTCCCATAATGTTCTCTCTCTATATTCTACTTCGAATTTTAATAAAAAATACTCGACATTGTTGTCTGAGACTCAAACATCATTCGAGTTCAAGGTTAAGTCATCGGCCGCAGTTCCTGAAAGTGTAAGTGATGCTGGAAATAGCAATGGCGTGTTCAAGACTTTGCAGCTTGGATCAATGTTTGCAGTATGGTATCTACTAAACATCTACTTCAACATTTACAATTGAAAAACCTATCGTTCGACCCAACTAACACCTAGAGGGGGGGTAAATAGGTGTTCTTGCGGAATTAAAAACTTTTTGAATAATTCATGCAACAAGTCACACAAATTATAATTTGTCTAGATTAATTCACGTGCTTTATCTGCCTATGTTGGATTACCATTGACAAGTAAATAAATTAAAGCGGTAAAAACACAATAAACATATTGACGGAGAAACCCAACTGGGTAAAAACTCCGGGCACAAGCCAGTAGAGATTCATTATTGTAGAAACCAACTTACAGCACGCCAGACATCATTGACACTCTCAATTTTCTGACCTTCTTGCTGTATGAACTCAAGACCCTCCTGGATTTTGCAAATCTGTGCTAAATCCCAGCCTTGTATAATTTCTACCTCCCGTGAATCGCCACGCACTCCAGCTCTTCAAGCAAATCCTTCCCGGATCTTCAAACTGATGATCTTCTGGAAGTTTAATTGGAGTTGTCAGACAGGTATTTTGGTGTTTATGGATTTGATGTTTTTTTTTTTTTACTCAACAACCCAAAGATTGGTATGAGAACAATGAAGGATTTCTTTGGTTTTTGATCCTTGGAGAGAATGATTTTGATTTTTGGTTGCCAAGGAATTGAAAGGATATTCAAAGTGTTTTCAATGTGAATTTTCGGGTTAATGAACACGAATCAGACGTTTGGTATATATAGAGGTCGATATATGGTAATGTGGAGCGTCAAACATTCGCGAGCGTTTAAAATTAGAATTCGCTAGCTAACACGGTCGCTCGAGCGATGGCTCAGCGTGAGTCCAACGAAGTTGGTTCTGCAATTGTGGCTCGAGCGAGGTCAGGGCGAGACTCTAGCGAATCAAAGTGCCGCTTGCATCTTCGAGGCATCCCACACAACCCTAGACCTAGCCTATAAACTTTAGTTAATTGCAACTCTAGTCTCTGAACTATTGGACATTGACAATTTGGTCCTTGACTTTACAATTTTGACAATTTGGTCCTTGGTCACAGATTTGCCAATTACATATTTTCCTAACAAACTCCCCCTTTGGCATTCTGTGACAAAAACACATTTGACAGTCAAGGATAAAAAACAAATTGACTCCAAACTACCAATCTATTCTATCACATCAGCAATATCTTGTTGAACCTATTTCCTGAAAAACAAAACTCAAATACCACGTGAAAAAGCATGTGAAATGGAAACGGTAAATATAGAGAAGATATAAATCATATATCATTAACCAGATTAAGAAGCAATAATAATGTATGTCTAAAACACCAAAAACAGACATTAAGATTGCCAAAACATCAAAAACTTAATCTAGTTATAAAATGACATATATACATCAACTTTATATCACAGTTATCAAAAAATAATTATCTGCTCCAATATCTATGCAGCTCCAATATCTATGCAATCTACTCCATATCAACTCAATCAATCTACTCCCCCTTTTTGTCACAAAGGGCCAAAGAAAAGCGAAAGCAACAAAATGAACTAAGAAGCAGCATCTCCAGCACTGGAAGAATCAGAACCACTCTCAGCACTCGTGCTCTCCTCCAAATGATCTCGAATCCAGCTCAACTGACACTGACAGACAGCAAGAGCATGGCGAAACGTAGACATCTTGGCTGACTGACGCTCTGAAGCAGCACGTAACTGCGTGATCTCAAATATCATACGAGCCTGCTGCTCGATCAGTGTAGACATCTGACCCACAAGCGTCACCATGGGATCAACGGGCAGAGAAGCCACCCTCGGAGCAAAAGTAGATGTCGAAGCAAACGCAGAGCTGAGAGGCATAACAGAAGGATAAACTGGACGAGGAGGGAGAAACACACGGGAGCCCCCTGTAAGAATCTCAGTAATAGGATCAAAGGGCTCCGAAGGATCAAAAACATCAGTGGTCGCAGCCGGAGCAGTAGAGGAAGATGATAGTACATGGGATCGACTCTGATGAATGGTCTGCTGTCCAATCGGACGTCCTATGCGACAAGTCGAACCCTCCGGAAAAGAGGCACCCAAAGACAACGCAACCCGATGAATCAAACAAGCATAAGGCAACCCGATCCGACCCCCAGGAGTATGAAAGGAAGCCAGAATATTCTGTCACACAAAACTAGGAAAGTCGATCGAGTCCCCATGAAGAACGGCATACAGAAAATGGGCACGCACCATAGGTAGAGAAGAGGTATGGGCAACAGGCCACAGGTTTGTGCACACTATGCGCAACAAGACCTGACGATCAGTAGGCAATGACCCCGTGGCCATCGCCGTAGGCCCACCGATAGACGGGGTGTTCAAGAGCGTAGACCGAACAAGAGTATCGGCCGGAATAGAAGCAGGTAAAATATAGGGATACGTCGGATGGGTAATCTGAGGTATACCTAAGGCATGAGCTATAGCCGATGGAGTAACTCTAAACGAATGACCTCTAAGAGTAACCCTAAAGGACGAGCCGTCTATATCATGAATATTCGCGTAGAATTCCTGAACGAGGAGTGGGGGAGGAGGTGAAAGACCAATGAGAAGGGGCTCCCAACCTCGGGAAACAAAAATGGCGGCTATATCAACAGGAAGGTCAGATAAGATTACCTCACGCTCCACGAAAACGGGGCGTAAGGAGAACTGAGAAGTGAAGATTTCCTGAGCTGTAGCAGAAATGAATCTGGAACGACTATACGACGTCGAACCACTAGCTGGCTGTGCAGAGGATCGAGAACGCTTACGGGCCATCTGGCATTTGTAGAGACAAAACTAATAAGTAATATGAAGAATGCATGTGATTCGATGCAATGTGGAATGAAACACCACACACACAAAAGAGGCACAATAGAGATGCATCGACAAACGTGAATGACCCTAAGCACAAACGAAGTAAGATGAAGATATAGACCAAAAACATATGGGAACACACCTATCATGGCACGTGATGACAAAGAACCAACGACGGAAAGGAAAGAAAGAAATGAGATGCGCAGAAAAAAAGGGAAACAAAGAGTAAAATAGGTAAGGAATTTCATCGAGCATGTGGCGTGCATCACTTTGTCACACAATTCCAAGCACATGTGAGATCCAATCACCCATCCAATCATAGTCCCTCAAACTAGAAATGACGTACTTTAAAATGAAACAAACCACACATCAAACGGATTAACGGAATGCAAGAACGAACGAATTGAAAATGGATGAAAAATATGTAAATCACATAGTTCGAAGAATGAAGAAATCAACAATGCAATGGAAATCGTGATGCACAATGCGGGAAAGAACTCCCAATGAAACACGGAATGTCGAAGCCACTATTAATTAAGTAACAATCAAGCAAGAATACCAAAGTAAGCCAAACACACGACAAAGAGAAGGAAAACGAAAAAAAGAAAAAAAAATTACCTCAATATGAAGTTTGGCAAAGGAAATCCGAAAACAAATATGTTATGAACCGTAGAGTGATGTTATTAGAGGAATATGGGGATGAAATATGGAGGAAATCACGAAGAAAAACAAAGGAGAAGAGAAAAAGAAGAAAATGCGCGAAAAAAATGAAACAGGGCCGTTTTAAAATAGGCCTGTCGCTCGAGCGAGGGTCCAGCGAGACTCGGGCGACAGGCAAACTGCTTTTGTCGCTCGAGCGAAGACCAGGCGAGACTCGAGCGAAACACCAAATGTCAAAAATAGCACCAAAAATTTGAATTTTGAGAAAAATAACATAATCTTCAAGAAATGACGAAATTAGCCCCAAATCGTGAAATTTCAAAAATAAGTGAACTACGTAATAGTAGAAAATAATCCAAAAAATAGCATGAAACCACATATGCAATCAAAACCAACAATAAGCATAAAATCAAAAACTCGACCACCAGCACGTAGACAAATCGTTAATCCACACATAGTTCAGAATCCTGTGTAGTAAAGTGTATACAGAACATCAACGTGAAAAGTGCCACGTAGGCCATGCAAGCTAGACTCAAAACCTTAAATTAGTGAGAAAGGACACGTGAAAACAACCCGACAAAGGTGAATGTCGACCAAATGACAGTCAAATTCAATTCCACGAGGACCTATATCAAATACTATGATTGTCACAATTTTACTTTCCCTAACTGTATGATTCCAACTTTTTTTTTTTGTTTATTGTTTTCATTTAACAAAGAACTTAAGTGCAATGCCATCCCATTAGACAACATAAATGACCCCTGTAACGAACTTTTGGCCGGTGACTCCCAAGTCAGACGACCATAGGGCACCAGGTTAGAAACCCCTCAGGCTTAATTGTTCGAGTCAAATAGGCCCCGAAGATAGCCATAAGTTCAACAAAGAACAAAAGTAAAACTGGGGAAAGACAATATTGATTAGGTTACACTCATCCCAGATCAAGTCAAATGTACATACAACCCCAATCATAGAAGAACACCATCCCAAGTCTCACCCATGCGGTCAAGACTCACTTACAGGACTACAGTGTGTGTTGTGTGAAAATGAATGACGAGCCATATACCCAGAACTCCACATTGAAAAATGAACAAAGATGGATCCTCAGATTCATACACATGTTGGAAAATAGAATTTGATCTTTAATGCAAATGCCAGAATCATTACATAAAAGTCCCAAAAAAAAATTTATTCTATTTTATTTTATCTGGTCTTTTTTTTTTATTAAAACACACATATAACACATAACAGAAGACTAAACAAAACAAAAGAAATACATCACACACACACAAATCACACGCAAGATATGAAGTGATGAGGTACATATGTGATGAATGCATGAACATGCATGAATCCATGATCAAATAGGTGAGCAAACACCAACAACCGTCCGAAGCGACTCAAACCTCAATCCATCTAGTGGTTTCGAAAGTAGATCAGCCAATTGATTATCAGTAGAGACATGGTCAAGAGAGACAACATGTGATTCAACAAGCTCTCGAATGAAATGATGTCGTATGTCAATATGTTTTGTTCGAGAGTGCTGAATGGGATTCTTAGAAATATTTATCACACTCGTATTATCACAGAAAACAGTCATTGTCCCTTGACTAATCCCATAATCACTAAGCATTTGTTTCATCCAGAGAAGCTGAGTACAGCAACGCCCTGCAGCTATGTATTCGGCCTCTGCCGTGGATAAAGATATTGAATTTTGTTTCTTACTTAGCCAGGCTACGAGATTGCTACCCATGTAAAAACAACCCCCAGTCGTACTTTTCCTATCATCTGCATTTCCAGCCCAATCAGCGTCGGAGTATCCAGCCAAATCAAGATTGGAATTCCTAGAATAGAATATCCCTAGATCCACTGTACCACTGATATACCTGATTATGCGTCTAACAGAGCTTAGGTGTGACTCTTTTGGATCTGCCTGAAAGCGAGCACACACTCCTACACTAAAGGCAATGTCAGGCCTAGTAGCTGTGAGATAGAGAAGACTACCTATCATGCTACGATATAGGGAAGGATCTACACTCTTACCAGAAGGATCACGACCTAACTTTAAGCTAGTACTCATCGGTGTCCTAGTATGCTTCTTACTATCTAACCCAAATCGCTTAACGAGATCCTTAGCATACTTAGATTGTGAGATAAATAGTCCATCCTCTGTCTGTCGTACCTAAAGTCCAAGGAAATAACTTAACTTCCCAACCATACTCATCTCGAACTCTCTCTGTAGACACTCAGCAAACTCAAATGCTAAAGACTCAAGAGGAGACCCAAAAATGATATCATCGACATAAATCTGAGCAATGGTAAAATTTTCTTCTATATGTCTAATGAATAAGGTCCTATCTGCACCACCTCGAGAGAACCCATGTTCTTCCAGATATGATGTAAGTCTCTCATACCAAGCTCTAGGAGCTTACTTCAAACCATAGAGTGCTTTGTGAAGTTTGTAGACATAGTGGGGAAATTTTGGATCAACAAATCCCTTAGGTTGTTCCACATATACTTCTTCCTGAAGAAGTCCATTCAAGAAGGCACTCTTAACGTCCATTTGATGCAACTTGAACCCTAAGGTACATGCAACAGCAAGCAGAATCCTAATAGACTCAAGTCGTGCAACGGGGGCAAAAGTCTCATCAAAATCAATCCCCTCAACTTGAGTATACCCCTGAGCAACTAATCTAGCCTTATTCCTAGTTATAGTACCTTGGTCATCTGTCTTGTTCTTAAAGATCCACTTGGTACCAATAACATTACAATTTTCAGGTCTGGGAACTAAGATCCACACATTATTCCTAGCAAATTGATTTAGCTCCTCATGCATCGCATTCACCCAACACTCATCACTAAGGGGCTCTTGAACTTTTTTAGGCTGTACCTGAGAAACATAGCTAGTGTACGCTAGATTGTTCAGTACTCTCCTACGAAGTCTCATCCCTTCATCTAGATCCCCAATAATATTATCCTTAGGATGACTAGACTTAACCCTAGTCGATGGTTCCTTAGGATTTTTATCTAGATTTTGTGGAAGTGTTTCCTTTTCAGATGTTTCAGGTTTCTTACAAGATGATTCAAGCACAGGTAGCTCGGTAGGATCACTTGAACTCAAAAGATCACCATCTTTATCACATTTTTCAGCACTCTCCCCCTCACTAACAGCATCATCTATCACAACATTTATAGACTCCATCACCACACGGGTACGTAAGTTATACACTCTAAATGCTCGGCTATTCCTAGAGTACCCTAGGAAGATCCCTTCATCACTCTTTGATTCAAACTTACTCAAGTTCTCTCTATCCCGCAAAATGTAGCACTTACTCCCAAATACTCGAAAATACTTAACAGTAGGCTTTTTACCCTTAAGAATTTCATATGGGGTATGATCAGTCTTGGGTCTAAGGTAGACTCTATTGATGATGTGGCATGCAGTGTTAATAGCTCCTCCCCAAAAGTGTAGGGCTAATTTCTTGCCATGAAGCATGGCTCTAGCCATGTCCTGAAGGACACGATTCTTCCTTTCAACTACCCCATTTTGTTGCGGAGTGATAGGGGAAGAGAACTCATGCAATATCCCTTCGTCTATACAGAAACTCTCAAGATTAAAGTTCTCAAACTCTTTTCCATGGTCACTACGCATCCTAGACACTTTGAGATTCAGTTCATTGCTAAGCCGTTTACACAGAGACTTTATGAGGTCACAAGCATCAGATTTTTCCCTAAGCAATTCTATCCAAGTAAACCTCGAGAAGTCGTCTACCACGACAAGAATGTATCGCTTACCACCTAAACTCTCAGTCCTAGAAGGTCCCATCAAATCCATATGTACCAACTCCAGGGGTCTTTTGGTCAGAATTTTAGTAGTCTTCTTATGGCTCCCCTTAAGTTGTTTACCTAGTTGACATGGTCCGCACACTACATTGTCACTAGGAACTATCTTAGGCAACCCATCTATCAATTCTTTCTTAGCCAACTGCTCTAGACTCTTATGGTTCAAATGACCTAATCTTTTGTGCCAGAGCTCACTCACATCAATTTTAACACTCCTACACACATAGTTAGAATTAGGTAATACCCCATAACAATTGTCAGATGTTCTAACCCCTTCAAGGACTAGCCCACCGGATGAATCATACACGGTACATCTCTTCTGCACAAAACTAACCTCAAAGTCGTCATCACAAATCTGACTGATGCTTCACAAATTTGACTTTAAACCTTCCACATAAAGCACATTAGAGATCACAGGTAAACCATGCATTTGTACAATACCTTTGCCAAGAATAGGTGTAGAGCTCCCATCTCCAAAGGTAACCATCCCACCATTACATTCATCAAGAGTAGTGAATAGAGCTTTATTACCACACATATGCCTAGAACATGCACTATCCAGGTACCACATATTAGAATTTTGAGCTTTTAAGGCAACATGAGCAACAAAACAGTTTTCTTGACCTGAAAGTCTTCCTAGATCACCCTTTTTGACTCAAACCTTTTTAGATGACAAAGTACTCTTAGTTAGCTTAGTAAGCATCTCAGTCAAATGATTAACTTGATTAGACAGAAAGCTAACCTGACTAGGAATGTTTTGATTTCTACGCTCATTGCCTAACTTATAATATTTAGGCCTAGTGTGTCCTGGAGGTCCACAATGGTGACAGGTGGGAATGAACCTAGGCTCAAAGGTACGTGTCTGTGGGTACCTAGTCTTGATGTTCCTACGTTGTGAATTTTCGGGTTAATGAACACGAATCAGACGTTTGGTATATATAAAGGTCGATATATGGTAATGTGGAGCGTCAAACATTCGCGAGCGTTTAAAATTAGAATTGGCTAGCTAACACGGTCGCTCGAGCGAGGTACTGGCGAGCCTCGAGCGACGTACATTTCACTCGAGCGATGGCTCAGCGTGAGTCCAGCGAAGTTGGTTCTGCAATTGTGGCTCGAGCGAGGTCAGGGCGAGACTCTAGCGAAATCAAAGTGCCGCTTACATCTTCGAGGCATCCCACACAACCCTAGACCTAGCCTATAAACTTTAGTTAATTGCAACTCTAGTCCCTGAACTATTGGACATTGACAATTTGGTCCTTGACTTTACAATTTTGACAATTTGATCCTTGGTCACAGATTTGCCAATTACATATTTTCCTAACAACAATAAACAGGTTCCTTTTCTTCTTTCTGTTTGTCTTTACTTATTTGATCTTTTAATATTTCTTTTTTCTTTTAATTCTTGTTACTTCGAAAAATACACTTAGAAAAGAATGGTGTGATATCAGTACAAGAAGTCGCACAAGGACAGCTGAACTAAAGTTGTTTTGAATATTTACATTAATGTAGCGATAACCGGAGGATTTACAGTGTCGTCCCGAATACATATTTGTTTAATGACATGATTTGTAATATTTGTAATAGCAAATAGTTGATTACAGGTTCTGAAGGTTTATCCATTTGCATTAACAGTAACGGCCTTCCAGTTTGGGTGTGGGACAGTGCTTGTTTTGTTAATGTGGACGTTGAATTTCCACCCTAAACCCAAGATTAATAGATCTCAGGTAATATTTACGTGTACTAACATATTTTCTTAATATTTTGGTCTTGTTCTGTCATAAAAAGTCATAAATTCAGGAGTTTAGTCCGTGTAGAAACTTCAATTATAATCTATAAAGCATGATTTGAAAGTGTTAATAATAATAATAATCATCATCATCATCATCGTCATCATCATCATCATCTACAAAGTATGTATTGAAAGTGTTAATAAATTGTTTAAATTAAATAGTTAAAATTAAATGGTGAATAAGCGGGGATAGCATCTGTTTGTAAACAAAAATTGGAATGAGTGTTTTTATAAATAAAAGTCAAACGTATAGACCTTTCAAAATTCTAGCAAAGATTTGAAAAGTCAAAATGTTTTTCCTAATTCTTACTATGGTAAACTAAGCCCTTGTTTGATCCCCATTACGTGGAAAAATTAATGGGGGGAATAGTATATTTTTGAAAAACGAGTGGTTGAAAAAGAATGAAAAGTTTTCGATTTACGTGTAATATTATTTTATGAAAGATTGTGTGGTTGAAAATAGAAAAGAGAAAAATAAAATGTAATAAAATTTAACGTAATGGGGCTCAAACAGGGGCTAAGAGACTTTAGCCGCTACTTCTAAAATTCATTTTCACTCATATATTTTATGAGATCCACAATTTTATCAATTTTCAACCAAATATTTCATTAGTTTTATTAAAATTTACTAAAAATATAATATTTATATTTATCATAATATAACTTTTAGCTAAAATATACATGATTGTAAATTAAACTTTGTTCTCGGTTTCAACTGAAAATGATCAACCTCTGTTTGATAATAAATTTAAAAATGGTTTGTAAATTCTGTCAAACTTAAATATTAGTTTTAACAATACATTTATAACTATTGCTCATATGTTATCAAACATTTTGTGGGGATCCATTAATATTTCTTTTACTATTTTTGTTTAAAAATGATTTATAAATTTGACAAATGGAGGCTAAATGAATTGCGGTGTGGAAAAAACTGCTTATCCCGGTTGCAAAAATAATTATCTTTTCTTCGAGCATTTTTTATTTTTTTTTGCATTAATTAATATAAAAGCTTATATTTTTCATATCACATCACCATGTTATGCTGCGTTTCTCGTTTCAATTGTGACCTTACATGATTCTACATATGTCTGGTTAGTTTGCAGCGATATTTATGCTGGCTCTGGGGCACACAATAGGTAATCTTTTAACAAATATCAGTATTGGAAAAGTGGCTGTTTCATTCACACATACAATCAAAGCAATGGAGCCATTTTTCACAGTGCTCCTTTCTGCTCTGTTACTTGGAGAGGTATATATAAATTTGCCGTTTTCCTGTATATTTTTGGATATTATTATTGTGGATTTTGCAGTTAGAAGATCTGGGTCGTGTTTTCTTGTTAATGATAATTTTTACTTCTCTGATGTATAACATTTTGTTGTTAAAAACAAATTTTGCGTTTGTTTGGTTTGGACAACAATTAGATTTGTAGTTGATTTTGATAAATGTTGATGAAATTGTTGGATATTGGTTAAATAAATTGAGAATTGAAAATCGATTAAAGTTCGTATCGAATTCGGCCAAATACTCAAAAGCTCGACTCAATCCGTTTAGGCAAAATTGTTTGCCACTTCGCCGCTTCGGAGCGCACAAAGAGAATTTTGATTTCTCTGCATGTATTGAAGGGTATATTTGGCATTTCGAAAACCAATATCGGATGAATGAGAAATTACGAAAAAGACCTCAACCATTAGTGAATAGACACCTTTTCATAAATGTGCATTGTTTGGAAATGGTGCATGGTTTGGTCTCAACCATTTCGTCCACACCCCTTCATGGTCTATAAATAGGACCCTTTGGGTGTCCTATTCCTCACAGTTTGATATGCAAAAACGTCTCTCATCCTCTCTTCTATCCAAAATCAAAATCATTTCATTTATTTTGATTTTCTTTCATTTCATCTGTGGAGTACATAAGCCTACATTGGGTTCGTTGTACTTGTGTTTTGGAGTGCTACAAACATAAGTGTAGCCGTTGTATCTTGGGAGTCGATTGCCGAAATCCGTAGGCACCGTTGCGGGGCAAATTCGACTTAAGGACAAAGAGTCCAACTCTTGCTTCGGCTTTGTCACCATCATTATACTTATTTCGGCGTCACTATTCACAAAATTCTTCCAACAGAAATGTGTGATTCACTTCTAAGAAATGAGGGCCAAAAAGGGGCTTATGAGAGATAAACAACTTTGTTGTCCCTCGAATAACTCAAGCTTTTGTACCAAGAGCTCAACATGAAATTAAAGCATGAAGTCCAAGTTGCGTTGCCACCTATTTAAGAAAATTGGGACATATTTATGATGAAAAATGAGAGATATGCTACACAAACAGAATTGGGGATAGGATTTTTAAACAGGTGGACACATGTCAAATACTGATTGGACAGTTTGAAAAAAAAAAAAAAAGCACCAACCAACTGCCGACACAACCCCTGTCCCCAAATTCTGTCACCTGCCCTGTTTGAATAGCATAATGCTAAATTTTTTTAAAAAAAATCGACATGAATGTGAGATGGTAAGCTTTTACACATAATTATCACATGTATGACGTACATGCTATAATATTGTTTATAAATGTTGGATTTTAGCGTGTATAGAACCTTTGATTATTCTGTCCGAGCATTTGGCCATAAAATTAAGGACAAAAACCTTTTTATTTTTTTTGAATGTTGAAAGCTATGTATAATCCATATACCTTATGGATCATTTATTATTTGAAGTCATTTGACTTTCAGTTTGATCACACAGAGGCCCTCTTTATGGGTAGTTTCCTCCCTTCTGCCTATTGTTGGTGGAGTGGCATTGGCATCATTCACTGAGGCCTCTTTCAATTGGTATGAGCCTTATATTATTCAGTTTTAAAATTTATTGGCAGTTACGGTGAAATCTCTTCTGTGTCACGGAATTTTTTTCATTTGGTCACTAAACTTATAATTCACCTCACGTCATCCACTCCTATTAGTTAAACCAATGGAGAAGTCTTCTGCAGCCGTTAACCTTTAACGGTATTGTAAGAAACACTTCAACTGAAGTCGAATTTTGAAAACACATTTTTCCAAATTTTTCCAATATAAAGAATTAAAGGAGAGACTGATTTGATGAACCCGTTTGACAGAAAAAAGTTTGGCGACCTACGTGAGTTTTCACTTTTGCTGATAAGTCAGTGACTGCCAATGAATTTTACCTGATATTGTGCTTGACCTTGGTGTCCTGATAATAGATTTTCTGTTAACTCAGGATAGGATTTGGCTGTGCAATGGCTTCTAATCTAACGAATCAATCTCGAAATGTGTTCAGCAAAAAATTCATGGTTAAGGAGGTAAGAGTTCATTGTTAGTCATTTGTTTAATTCTTTCATTATACTGTTTAGCATGAACAAGAATTATATTTTAAGAATGATTTTTAGGATATAACAGAACCGGTTTTTGGGACGGTTCCTAATTTTCTTGGTCAGGTCGGGTCAGACCGGGCCTCTATATAAACGATGATGGTTATGATTGCATGATAATACGATCTGAAATCAACAATATAGTGCTAACCTGATGCTGATTCTATCAGGAAACACTGGACAATATAAATCTCTTCTCCATTATTACAATCATTTCATTTCTTCTTCTGGTGCCGGTTGCCATTTTGATGGATGGTGTCAAGTTTAGTCCAGCATACCTGCAATATGCTGTAAGTAGTGTTTAAAGTAGCTGAATTCTTAGCTTAAACTGCTGTCATTCTGAATTCCTAAAGTTTTTTAGTATACAATTTTCATGTTTTGTTTATTATAATTTAGGCAAGTCAAGGATTGAATGTCAAAGAGTTTTGTGTGAGAGCTCTTTCAGCTGGTTTCTGCTTCCATACTTATCAGCAGGTTAGGTCTCTAACATTTGCCGAAATTTTTCTATTTTATGAACGTTGTTTTCAGTTAAGTGGTCAGGATGTGTCATGTATATAGGCATAAAGATGTGTTGGACTAAATTTACCGGATGGAATGGTTGAAAATGAATATCAGAAATTTAGATATTGGATTTACGCATACCATATATGCAATATACCGTACTTAAGCATACCATATATTCTATTTACCGTATTTGTAGCTTACCTTATTTGCAACAGCATACCGTATATGCAATAGCTTACCGTATTTGCATATGCCTATCTTGCATATACCGCATGTGCAATGAACTTGGTAAAATATAGCAAATTAAATTGCAATAAAATAAACCAGTTAATCTGAACAAAACTAATATGGGCATTTCAAAATTCTTAAGAACCTGGTTGCTTTCGATATTAATGGAACAAAGAGGTGAAAAAGGATTCACTTGGTCGACCCAAAACTTATTGGGAACTAGTCTTGTGTTTTATTATTGTTCAATTATAGCTGGCCACAATTTCAATTCAATCCTTCCAGTGTTGACTTTATCGAAGCTCTATAATGCACTGAGAGTACATTTGACACGAGTAATAATAGAATAGTATAACAAACAAGATTTTAAAATTCTTTTGACACCCACCCTTCTGTCCAGTCTACGAACTAGTTATTCTGAATGCAACTCTACTTTATTGTCAACAATAAGTAACTTAATCTGTTTCTGATCGGCAGGTTTCTTATATGATACTACAAATGGTAACACCAGTGACACATGCAGTGGGAAATTGTGTTAAGAGAGTGGTTGTAATTGTATCCTCAATTATCTTCTTCCAAACTCCAGTTTCACCGACGAATTCCCTTGGTAAATTTCTTAGAATCAATCCTAAATTATGTCCTAATTTCATTAGTAACGTTATTTCTTATCTTTGGAGTCTGTTTCTCCAGTTTTAATTTAGCCTTGGTAATTCTGCCTGATCTCAGGAACTGCTATTGCACTTGCCGGAGTTTTTCTGTATTCCAGAGCCAAGAGAATCAAACCAAATAAAGAACTTTCATAGTGATACAATCGAGATGCCTGGACGAGGACCTAGTTCGATCTCAAGTGCTTGAATCCAATCGAGTGTAATGATTGGATCTTTTCGAGAATATACTGAAATTCTGGTACAAAATGGTCAATTGTATGATATTACGAGTTGAGCAAAATGAAGACTAAATACATTATATATAAATTTTTAAATTTCATACTTGGTGCAATCCATGTGCATGTGGAACATTAAATATAAATTTTTAAATTTCATACTTGGTGCAATCCATGTGCATGTGGAATGAATTTAAGTAAAATCACTTCACAAAATAAGAGCTGTAAGTAATGTTAAAAAAATAATCAGTTGCAATACCATTCAGAACAATAAATTGCAGAAATATAAAAACTTATCGTTCTATCGAGTCTTGTGACAACACGATATTTTAAAGTGAAATTGCCCGTCGATAACTGCTACAACCTTCGAGGACAAACACTCTCAGGATACAATGATCATAAACCACTTGTGCAACAATCAATAATGATTTTCAGAACTCTCAAGCGCACTCCAGAATATATGTAAAAACCGAATATAAAAATTCAGAATGTGATAAATAAGATTTCTTTTCAAATGAATTTCTGTTTTCTTTGATGTCTGTCTTTCCAAACCAAGACATGAGTTTATATGGGCAAAACTGGAAGTAATTGTCTCCTCCATGACCAGAGAATAATGCAGAATGTTAATGACTGTGAGTAGTGGGTATTTTAATGACTGTGAGTAGTGGGTTGTTACAAAAAAGGTAAGAAAATATTGGCTAGTTTGACCCATTAAATAATTTCGAAAATAAATAAAATAAAATAAATTATTTTAGTCAAGGATCAAGACTTTTTAATAATTGCATGGGAAGTGACCCGAACCTTTAACGTCCCACATAAATGTCACATTTCCCATCACTTGAGCACTTCATCTAATTTGATTATTTTTTTCACATTTTTTATTTATACTATAAATATATAACAAGTTATCTCTTTGTAATTACCAAATGAATAGTTAACTTGAAACTCGTCGATAAATTTGAATCTACATTGCTTGTATATTTGTCCTTGGTTGTCTGCACATGCGCTCTCATTGGTAGGTGAAGTGTTGGAAGGATATTTATTTAATTATGTGAGAAAATTTTGTTGAAAGTATGTAGGTAACTAAGAAAACATTTGGATAGTCTTCTATGTTTTGGATATTCATCGATGGTATTTAATTATTTTTTCAAAATAAATAAATAAAAGTTATTTAATTTTATGAGAAAGTTTTGTTGAAAGTACTTTGGTAAGAAGACATTTGGGAAGTCTTCAAAGTTTTGGAAAGTCATCGATGGTATTTAATTATTTTTTTCAAAACAAATAAATAAAAATTTATCGAATAATCTGTAAATAAAATAGCATAAATTATACAAAAAATTATATCATACAATAGTTCCAATAGGATCTGATTTTATTTTATTTTATTTTTTTAAAAAAATAGCACTATTTTTGCACGTGGTAATGAAATGCGCATAGAAATTATATACATAGAGAAGGATCTTTATATTGACTATTAAAAGATTATATCATGTTTCCAAGCAATCTCCTACCATTTTCGTACTCCAAGCTTCTCCATCAACGACATGAATAATCTATCTATTAATCTAGCACATAGAAGTGTGGAAATAAGAGAAATATTATTGGACAACAAAAATCTTACAAATATTACAAAATTCTATTCAACTTGAAGGTTTCTATCCTTAACATATCATAATTTTTCAACCACTAATTTATTTCAAAAATACATTATATCAAAACTCATTTTCAACCACATATTTTTCTATAAAATAATTATACACGTATTTGAAAAACTTTTTCTTACTTTTTAACCGTACATTCTCCAAAAAAAAACTACTATTTCATAATGCATTTTATCCCAAAAATGAGAATCAAATAGAGGCTAAATATAGTTCTTAATTGGAAGAAACTGAGAAGATTTTATCTTCTTCAAATTTGAAAGTGGATACAAAAGCAAACTGTTTGACTTCCAATAAATAGACAAATTAGTAAATTTTCAATTAATCATTGATAAATTTGATATAGAGATAAAGAAAGAAGGTAAAAACTATAATATTTTTCTTCATATGTTTTACAACGATTTGTGTCCGCATTTACAGGTGAAAATTTAAGCTTTACATGGTAAATATAACCTGCGAAGAAAATAATCTGTAAATGGAAAACATTGATTTCTGGGGACGTGTGCTGTAATTGCTCCTTGTAATTGTTGGTATGCTGTAATACTCTCTCGCAAGTTGGAGCATAGAGATCCCTAATGCCCAACTTTGATTGAAAGAAGACAAATAATTCTCTTCCCAATGGTTTACTAAAAATATCAGCTTCTTGTTGAGAGTTTGAAACATAGGAGGTAGTAAGAAGACTGGATTTGATTTTCTCACGAACAAGATGACAATCTAATTCAATGTGTTTAATTTTCAAGGAAAATCGGATTGCGAGCAATGTGGATGGCATCTTGATAGTCACAGTGAAGCAAAATAGGTTGCGGATGGGACACAGTGAGTTCTTGTAATTAGAGGCGAAGCCAAACAAGTTCACAAGTTATAGTGGCCATCGCACAATATTCAGCTTTAGTAGAAGAGCGAGAGACAGTAGTTTGTCTCTTAGTACTCCAAGAGATAGGGCTATCGCCCAATTTGGTAATGAAGCCAGCTGTGGAACGTCATGTGAGTTGACAACTCACCCAATCAGAGTCACAGAAGGTAGATATTTGAAAACTACAGTTGGATGAGAAGAATAGACCATAACCTAGAGTAGTGCTCAAATAGCGTAGCAAGTGGTGAGCAACATGAAGATGAGGCTTGCGAGGAGTGTGTATGAACTGACTTAAAATGTTGACAACGAAGGTTATATTTGAGTGAGAGATGGTTAAATAGATCAAATGACCAACCAATCATTGATATAAGTTAGGATCATCTAGAAGATCACCATCTTAGTCATTCAGTTTGCAATGTTGTTCCATGGGAAAATAAGCTGAGCGAGAGCCAAGTTGACCAGAATCAGAAAGAATGTCCAAAGTATATTTCTTTTGATTGATAAAGATGATTTTAGGAGATCGAGCAACTTCAATCCTTAAGACATAGTTGAGATCACCAAGATCTTTGATTTTGAAGGTCTATCCAAGATGCCGTTTGATAGAATTGACTGCAGCAATGTCCTTACTAGCAATAAGAATATCATCAACATAGACAAGAATGGCAGTAAATGTTCTATCCTCGGTCTTAGTGAAAAGATTGTGATCAGCTGTAGAGTGACTAAAACCTGTAAGGATGAGAACATGAGATAATTTCAAATACCATTGATGTGAGGCTTGTTTGAGACCATAGAATGATTTGTAGAGACGACATACTTGTGTTTTTCCCTTACGACAATATCCTAGTGGTGGCTGCATGTATACTTTCTCATCAAGATCACCATGGAGGAAAGCATTATGAACATCTAATTGGTGAATAATCCAATGTTTCGCTGTAGCTATAGTAAGAAGACAACAAAACAGTAACAAGTTTAGCCACAGGAGCAAAGGTGTCATTATAATCAAGACCTCTTACCTGAGTGAAACCCATGGCAACTAAATGAGCTTTATAATGTTCGATGGAACCATCTGCATGCAATTTTATTTTACAAACCCGTTTGCAACCAATAGCTTTCTTACCAGGAGAGAGATGCACAAGGGTCCATGTGATTGGCTTTAAGCTTTAAGGGCTTGAATCTTAGAAGCCATAGCCCATTGCCAATGAGGCTCCAGGATAGGTTGAGAGTAAAAGACAGGTTTTGAACATTTTTGGAGACAGAAGAGAGGAAAGCATAATGTTTTGGACTAAAGAAACAATAAGAAAGAAAAATTAGGTAAAAATTGAATAATAACTAAGAAAGACTGGGAATGAGATGATGAACGTGGTCTCTCTGGAGGTAGATCTGAGCAAATATAATCCTGAAAATATGTGGGGTGAGTGATTGTGTGTCGAGGTCTAGGTGATGGGGATGTAACGATGACGAGTTCTGATGAGCAAGGTTCATCATCATTTGATGGTGTTGGTATAGCTGGTTCAGTATCTGGTGGGGATGGTGCTTGGGGAGGTGTAACATGGGTGTCATGTGTACCATGGGCTGAAGGTAAGGTAGTATGATTTATATCGTGAGACTGTGTGGTGTCTAGCATGGTATATGGTAACGAGACGTCCAAAGGTTGCATGGTAGTAGCAAATAGAAAGATAGATTCTACAAAGCGGACATCATGAGATAGGAATATCTTCTTGGTTTGCAAGTCATAAACACGATAGGTATCTGGAGTTTGAGAGTAGCCCAGGAATACACATGGTGTGCTACAAGGAGAGAACTTATCTCGTTGAACACTTAAAGTGTGTGCATGGCAAAGACATCCAAAGATACGAAGATGATTATAGGTACCAAAGATACGAAGATGATTATAGGTAGGAGGTTTGTTGAAAAGAAGGTCGTAAAGAGTTTTTCCATTAAGAAAGGGATTGGCATGTGGTTAATTAAATAAGTAGCAGTAAATATGCATTCACCCCAAAAGGAAATAGGTAAATGTGTATAAAAGCGAAGACATTGAGCCACATTTAACAAGTACGATGCTTTCATTTAGCTATACCATTTTGCTAGGGTGTTTCAACACAAGTACGTTCCTGAATGACACCATGGTTGAGGAAGAATTGTTGCATGCGATGAAAAAGAAATTCTTGACCATTATCGAATCGAACATGTTCGATGGGACAATTGAACTGTGTGTGGATCATGTTAATGAAAGTGGTCAAAAAAGTAAATGCATCAGATTAAAACGCATTGAGTATATCCAAGTAACACATGAAAAATCGTCGATAAGTGTAAGAAAGTAGTGTGCATTAGTTGTAGAGGGTGTGGAATATCCGCCCAAATGCTACAATAAATTCGGCTAAAGATAAAAGAACTTTTATTTTCGACCAGTTTGAAGGGAAAACATGTATGTTTGCCTTGAATACAATTGTCACAATTTCTAATTTTATTCAAATCACATAGAATTTTTGGAATGCAAGAATTCAAAAGATGACCTAAACAAAGATGCCATAGGTCCGGTATGGATATAGGGTTTGCTATGATGTGAAGCATAGCTTGATTAAATGGTTGAAAATGGTAGAGGTCT